GTGTTTTAAAAAAATATATATATAAATCTCTTATATTTCAGCTTTTTAAATAACCTAAAAAAATTTGACTCATAAACTTACACAAATGTATTTAAAATTTTATAAGCACTTTTAATATACAATTAGATAATCTAAAAATATTCAATAGTGTTTATAATTTTAAATAAACTTAATCAAACAATCACTTAATATTTTAAATTTATATATTTCAAATTTGTGGAGCATGAACAGAATCATCTCAAATGCGCATGAAATTGAGATAGATTATTGAAATCTTATAGTGCATCATGATATTATTGATATAATGTTTTAAATTATAAAGGAGTGTTTTAAATTTGCAATTAGGTTTTAGTACCAAATTGTAAAAGGCGGCGGTGGGGATGGCTTTCCAAAGTCATGGGGTGTTGGGGTTGCTGACGTGGAATCAGTCACAACCAATAGATTTTGTAGTAACCTGACAATGATTCCTTTTCAATCAATTTTTTAATAAAACCAAAAAGACTTCAATTATTACAAAGAAACCCACATACAAATTTACATGCATAAATGGAATTATAAATTATTGATTGAAATTAAGCCATGATTTCCTAATTATTCTGCTTTCATTTTAATTATTTTTTTTAGTAATGTTATCAAGATTGCACATTCATAGTAATCTTATGAATTTCTCTAATAAACAATTAAATTTTATTAGTTCTAAAAGTTAATGAAAAATGTTTTTCACAATGTTAAAATTTGTCATTTTCTCCACCATAGTTACCAGAGACCTCTGAAATTTCATAAAATTTATTAAAAATCTATTTTGCTTTTTTAACAATATAAGGACCCAATTGTCATCAGAAAAATAATCTCAAAGGTGATCATTGTAACTGTCGCTAGGTTTCATCCAATCTTAAAGTCAAAACGTCATCTCTAATTTTTGTTAATTTAGTTAGTTAACCAAAATTACTAAACTTTTAAGTTTAAGTCAAATAATTAGTTATTAAATTAGAAAAAAATTATTACATCATTCATAAATAAGTTTAAAAGCAAGTATTAAAGTTACTTTCAAGAAATTATCACTACATTTATATTGTTTTTTTGAAGGTTTTACTCTACATAAAAATAATTTTGATAAATAATTCTAATGCTTACAAACATAATTTAACTTATTTAAGAAAATTGTATGAAATTTCTAAGAGAAGCATTAGTTACCGCAGTGAATGGATACATTTAAACTATTATAATGAAAAAACAAACAAAATTGTAGCTTTTCTTGAAAAAGCATTCTATACAATTACAAGTTAGTGTCTTCTCAAAAACAAAGCCTTGTACAGCCTCATTAAACCCTTTTTGATGGGGCAACAGAACAAGAAACAAAATTTGATGATTACAAATTGTGCAGTTTTTTTTGTAATAATACCCACATACTTGATCCATTTTTCGACATGGTTCCTCCTTTCTATCAGCCTCAACACAGAATTGGAGAGCCCCACCATGTTAAGAACATCCAAGGCTTTCCGTTGTGCTTTCTGAACAACAGATGGCAAAAATTAGCAAAACTCTTCATAGAGATTAATGGCAAAACAGTTAGGTCCAGTTTTAATGATCTCCAATTATCTAAAGCTCAGTTTAACAGTTTGATTGAGTCCCCGAAAAGCTACATACTAGATAGCAAACCTGCATGACACTTCACGATGCCATTGCTTCCCATTGCTTATTTATTGGAAACCTAGAAATTACCAATCAACCAAACTTAAAACTACAGTAATTTTCAACAGCCATCTAAAATTCTTCCCCTAGGTAGTTTTCGTGGGCAAGCGATAGTTTCAAAATAACGTACAAATAGATTTAGATACTAAGAAAATATAGCAACATGAATATGGGATATCGATGTTTTGAATCACAGACAGGAAGATGCCTGAAGTCGATTTTCTCTTCTACACTTAAATGTCAATTGACACAAATCACTTTCCTCTTTCACCTTTTTCAGAATACATACTCTATCGCCCACGTTATTGCACTCTTTCAATCTCTCTCTCAGATCTAATGCTTGTGTCAGCCCTTGTAAGATAATCTCTTACAATACAAACTCTTCTTCTTCACTTAACAAAACCAACATTAAAAATTTGGTAATTTGCATTAAAAAAGGGGATCTTCACATAAAACTCCTCTTCATGTAGAACTTTTGTCTTTTATTGAATTCACTTGGCAAAGAAGACAGAAATTTGCAATCTCTTATAAATTCTCACATTTAGGAAAAACTATGTTTTGGAAAAAACTGACTATAAACCAAAACCAAGATGATGATAAATAACTAACTTATTAGCTTTTTTAATAATCACCATAAATTGACTAAATCTCTCCACAACCATCAGAGCTGCAAACAATCACTAGGTCTATAGATTTGGTACGATCTAACGCCAAAGATAGATGCTAAGAAGACCTCAAATGTCAATTATAAATTATCAGAAGAACATACGCGATGCAATGATATAGTGTGCACATGCCCATAAGCAGAGGCTTGATTGTAGTTACCTTCAGGTGTTCTCTTTGCTCTGCATATTTAGCAAGGATTGCTGTTCCAGTTGCAAAAGATTCTTGCAACATCCTCGATGAATTCTTGAGCTTCCTCATCAAAAATTCTCAACACATGAGAAGAGTCCATTCTAGAACATAAAATAAATTCATTAGACCATAATCAAAATTCTATTTCCAAAACAGAGAACACAACATTTTATTCAAATGATACAGAAATCGAAAAAACAGCATACCTACACCGTTGGTCAGATGAAGTAGTCATTTGCATTGTTTCACCAGCAACAAGATGCCCTACAACTGTTGCCAGCAATGTTACAAGCTACAAACACAGAGAGATGATGCAGAAAATGAGTGGCAGAGACAATGTAATAGATTCTACTAAATCTCAAAACCACATAACGAGCAGCAAAAAGGAAATATAATTGATAATAAAAAACTTGAGCAAAGTACACTTAGGAATTTGATGTGGCCATTAGCTCTCACTTCATTCTATCAATCCCATGGCGTGTTAAATTAAACTGACTGATAAACAAGTTTATTATCCATTAGGCACCATGGATTAGCCAATTTTGTATGCTGAAGAGCATACAGTTCAGTTGTCACATAGTTTGCTAAAGCAACAAGGCATTAGTTGGTATGAGAATCCAACGGTATTTAAGCATATATATAAGCAATGGAAGAGAATATATTAACGAGTAAAAACAAAAATAAAAGAGTGGATTAAAAATCCACTCGTGATTAGATGTCCCCTAAGTGTCTATACAAAGAACCCCAAGAACCTCACCATGTTTTACATTAAAAAAGAAGAAACTTGAACAATGAAAGAGTTTTTAAAAGTCTGGATTGTTTCTAAACGACTATTCTCATTGCAAATGACTGAGAACCTGTATTAGATCCTTGTTTTTTGAAGAAAATAGGTAAACAAAGCTTAGACCTCAGTAAACAAACAAAAGATTCTTGCAACATCATCGATGAATTTTGAACAGACTGCATTGCTTGAGCTTCCTCATAAAAAATTCTCAACACATGAGAAGAGTCTCCATTATAGAACATAAAATAATTTCATTAGATTGTAATCAAAATTCTATTTCCAAAACATAGAACACAATAGTTTATAACAAGAATGGGTCGCATACAGCTCTTCCAGGCAACTCTGCCCTCTCTCTAGCTTCATTCGTCCGCCTCTGATTTCTAAAAAGTACTTATCCAGATTTTCCTTCAATGATTCGGCCTCTTCTGCCACTTGTTCCACTTTTCTGAATATGACATAATATAACCAAAAACCCATCAAGATCCATGCAATTAAGCTGTCGCATCAAAGAAAGTAAAAGATAAAGAACACAATAAACAAAACTATCAACAAGACAACAAGATCATTTAAAAAAAAAAAAAAAAACTCAAATTCTCTTCTAGATCCCGCTTCAACATGCATTTCCTCAATTGAAATCATTGATCCACCAATGCACAGAGAAAACACACGATTGCATATGACTCGTACCAAAAACACATTCCACCCTAACATTGAAACCAAGCCATGCATTGAGCTCAGAGAAACTCAACGGTATAGTTATATCTCAATGGAATTTCAAGTAATCAACAAACTACCAATCGATTAAAACATAATCAAGTATTCATATAAACTGACTCGTTGTGATTTTTTCTTTTAAAAGACAGATAAACAAACAAATAATTAACATCATCATTAAATACCATTGTTCACGTAACTAAACAAATGGTATAGGCAAATGGATCCACGTGGCGGTAACTATAAGTACCTTTTCCAGAGATCAAGTTCAGACTTGGCGGCGATGGAGCGCCAGAGGCGGTCCATCTCGACGTATAGGGACTGGATCTGAGCAATGTCTTTCTTCACAGCGACTGAGAGGTCCGGTGAATCATAAGCTCCGTTGGATGTGGAGCCGTCAAGTCTCTCTAACTTCTCGACTCCACCTCCTCTTAGCGCTCTGGTATATCTCTAGTAATGTCCCGCCTCCTTCAACCGCCATCGCCGCTTTTGGTTTGTTACGACTGGAGTTTGAATTAAATTTGGGTGACGGTGTGAACCTTTTTCAAGGTAACAGTAAGAGGGGTTTGTTACATTACACGTCAATGAACCTATAATAATTTGACACGTCATGGAGAGGAAGAAGGGGCATGGGTGAGGTAAAAGTAAAGCATTTTTTCAGTGCATAAATGTGATTACGACAAAACAAGGAGTCTGGCGCTGGATTAAAACAACTTTTGACCGAATATTATCATCATACACCAAATACAAAAAAATTAATAATTGACACATTCATTCATTAAGGCACATCAGAATGAAAAAAGAACCTCCGCTGTTCCAATCAATTTTCAAATGAAGAAAGCAAAAGCTGAACAAAAGATAGAAATAATTAAAAGGCCTCCCACTGTCTCACCTCCACATAGGGAATTGGAACCGCAATAATGCCTCACAAACTACAACAAAAGTGCCCTTGACCTTATTCCGGAGATTTCATTGAAGTTTGACCTGAATCCTTTTCAGAAATCTGAATATTCTGTAAATATAAAGCACAACACGTTGAAACTGAAAACTGGAAGTGCAAGGAAAAGTTACTTTGATCTATAAAATGATGATAGTTTAGCAATGAAAGCTTTTGTCTAAAGTTACAATTTCCCGAGGACTGAGGATGCATTGACTCGCTTCGAACAACAATGGTTACAAGTATTTTTACAACATTATATTATCAAGGGAAATGAGAAATCCAGAGAAGTAATTCTTAACTGAATACGTACCAGATTTTTGTGTCGATGCTGTATAGTAGTATTAAGATCACCCTCCCAGTACCCTTCTTCGTCATCCCAATCTTGCATTACTTTTTGTAAACTCGGTACGCTTAATACTCCTTCGGAAAAAGTCTTCATCTTAGGGCATTTATCCATAACTAATTTTTCCAAAGTTGGGAATTTAAAGGTGTAATTCCCAGAACAGAAGCTTGTGAGACTTTCTAAGTCATGAAGTGTTAAAGAGTTCAAATTTTCAAAAACAATTTCATCGTTTTTTTTATCTCCTTCATTTGATACTACTTCTATCATCATTTCACATCGGCTAATTGACATTGTTTCAAGTCCCACCAGACTTTTGGCTGTTGAGGATGATACTAAGTTTATCAATCCATGACACTGCCATACGTCCAGAGTTGTTAGATTTTCAAAAGTCGCTGACGATGGTGCTAGATTAATCAAATTGTGGCAAAAATTTACGTCTAGCATTTCAAGATTTTGAAGAATGGAGTCCAAATGAGAGTCTTGTTTCCACATGTACTTCAAATCAAAGAGTCCCCAAAGCTCTAACTCTTTTATCTGTGTGAGCATTCCAACATGTTTCTCAGCCTCTTCACATGAGAATATCTCTTGATATGAACTTACTTTCAATATGAGTTTTTTGAGATTCTTAAATCTTTGAAGAACTTCAATTGGAATGTGTGCTGATTCATCCCTAATGACTTCAAGAACTTTAACTTGGCAAAACTGATGATGTTCTGGTAATGGGTCTTGCCACACAGGCATGAGATCCTTTCCACTTAACACCAATTTTTCAAAATTAGAGTTTACCTGAATTTTAATCATATAAATCATGTCAAAATAGATATTCCCTTAAACAAGTTTACACAAAAGTAGTAATAGATATATTCTTGACAGGAACAAAAAGAAGACAGAAATCATAAATTTGTTATTGTAGAAAAACTAAGGAGTCATCCTAATGTGGCTGTAATTAAGATTTCTGTTAATTTTGTTCTTAAAATCTACGCACCCAGTCTTGGTTTTACTGTTAAGAGGCTATTACTGGTTATAACTTTGTGATGCTCTAGTTAATTCCTCTATCTTATTAAAGATACCATGAAAGGTTCAATAAGCACCAAGCAGGGCCAGCTACAGGGGAGGCAACCAAGGGAATTGCCATAGCCTTTGATGGTAATACTTTATATCCTTCATCCTCATCCCATGTGCAAAAACATGTGAGATCTTCTAAATATAGAAGTGACAACAACTTACAATTTGCTCAAAACAATTTCATCTTCTACTGCTATCATCATCCAGCACCAGCAATACGCAATACTCTATTTTCATCTCTTCCAATTGCATCAAGCTTTGGCAGTTGAGTGTGTGAATAAGTTTATCAATCCGCAGCAAGATACTCTTTAGAACTCTTAGATTTGCCAAAGATTTTCTGTTGATTTATTATTTTAAATCTACCTATCTTTGTTTTACTGTTAAGAGGCTATTAGCAGCTATAACTTTGGGATGCTCAAGAATGGCGCACATCAATGATGGCTGTGATTGCGATAGAAAATCATTCTTTAATTTGATGATGACACGTGTGAGAAGCTTGTTATCCCAATCGTATCTAGTTAAGGTGCAAGTGGCGTTCATGAAGTAGAGAGAGGTGAGTTGTGCTGAGTGAGTGGTGAGTCATGCAGAGCGAGGTGTGAGTTGTGGGTTTGTCATCTTTAGTTGTGGGTCTGCGTCAGCTTTTGTCGTGGAGGGGCTAAAGTGCTTCTTTTATTATGGATGAGAAAAGCTTCAGTTCTGTTACTTCTATAAACTTGAACCATTAACTTGCATGAATTAAAGGATTTGAAATTTGTATTTTTTTTGTTAGCATTTCAATAAAACATTATCCCTAATTTGATAATTTCCTTTTAATTAATATTAACTATAATTTTTTTATTTATTTTAATGTAACTATGTTTCAGTTAATTCCTTTATTGTAAATACATAATTCATTATGTTAATGGAACCCAGATTCAATCAATATTTGGAATATATTTAACTATTATTTAAAAGATTTTTTTTATGGGTAAAAATGCCTCTACAACCTAAAATGGTATCCTTGGACTAACTTCGCTGGGTGCTTCCAGAGATTTCTATTTCTTTGACACTATAATTCTGTTATGTTATCAAGCAAAACCTCTAAGGGTGAATATGTCAGTCAACCTAAAAAGATATCCTGGTAATGCGTTGAATATTTGTTATTTTAAGAATTTAATATTCATTATTTTCAATAAATTTTCCTTTTAAAAGTTAAACTTCTTTCTATATTTTATGCATTTCTTTATACATAATATTTGGGTTCTTGGTTATTAGGAAGAGTTCAAGAAATATAGAAGGAAAAGAAAAATCTAGAGAAAAGAAATTGTTAATTGAACACATACCTTAATTTTGCGTAGATGTTGTATGGTTGTATTAAGGTCACCCTGCCAACACCCTTCTTCATTGTTATCCTGAATAAACTTTACTTTCCTTAAACTTGGTGCACTTACAACTGCTTCGGAGAAAGTCTTCATATTGGGACATTTTTTCACAATTAATTCTTCTAAAACCGGCAATTCAAAATTGTAATACCCAAAGCAGAAACATGTGAGACTTTCTAAATTTTCAAGAGACAACAACTTTAGTTTGTTGAAAACAATTTCATCTTCTACTCTTAAATCTTCATCATCCTCCTTAGAGATTATTTCAGTTATCAATTTGCAGTTTTCTATTTTCATTTCCATCAATTGCATCAGGCTTTTGGCTGTTGAGGGTACAAATAAGTTTGTCAGTCCCCAACACCAATCTACTCTCAAAACTGTAAGGCTTGCGAAAGATGCATGGGATGGCAGCAAACTAATCAGTCTGTCACAATCAGTTACTTCTAGAACTCCAAGATTTTGAAGAATAAAGTCCAATTTGGAGTCTTGTTTCCACGTGCACTTCAATTTAGAAAGCTGACTCAACTTTAAATTTTTTATCTGCATCAATGTCCCTGCATGTTTGTCTTTCTCACCACATGAGAATATTTCTTCATATAAACTTTCACTTAATATGAGCTTTTCGATATGAATGGATCTCTGAAGGATGTCGAGCAGAAAATTTGTTGATTTATCACCTTTGATCTCAATTGTACCTTTGAAAGAGAAGTGTTCTGGAAATAGACACTGCCATGTCATCATGTTGTCTGATCTCATTAGCAATTCCTCCCAATCAACGTTAAACTACAAATCAATCAAACAAAGTCAAGTTCAAGTTGAAATTTCAATCTAATTGAACGCAAGAAAAAAACAAAAGATAAATTAATTTACAAGAGTCCGACATTACTGATTGGGCTTGGGCTTTCATGACAAGTTACACAACAAAAAACTTTGATCTGACAACTCATGTTTCTTTCACATGTGTTAAAAAGAGTTTGTTAATTTAACTCTCTTAAACAATATTGCATAAACTTAAAATTATTCTTCTTTATAAAATTCAAACATTTTCATCGTTTTTGGGAAAAAAGAAGGCTTATTTTCCGAAGTGAAAAAAGGAAAAAAAAAAAAGTGTAAACAGTTAGTATTTTATAAAAAGTTATTTTCTAATTTTATAATTAAGACCGATGAAACTTTTATTATGAATTCTTTGAATAATTAAATTTGAGACTTAAAATTGTAAGGAATAGTAGAAGCTGTTATAATTATTACTTCAAATATATATTTCTTCCATTTCCAATATTACATACATGTAAACATATTGTAAAGAACTATTTTTTCTACATTTCTTAAAAAAAAAATAAAAGTGTGAGAAGTCACTGTTTTAAGAAAATATTTTTATACTTTTTATAAATATAATATATAATATCTCTTTATTTATTTTTAAAATTGCAAGGAAAATTATAAGGTTTTATAATTATTACTTTAAATATGTATATCTATTATTTTGCGAATATTGAAAATGAAAATTTATTTATTTTAATTTATTCCTTATTTACTTTCAAAAGAATTTCAAAAAAAAAAAGTTATCATATATGTTTTAATTTTCTTGGGCTATGCATTATATAATTAGTATTAAATTTAATTTGGTGTGGAATTCATTATCTTGAATTATATAGAAATTTACTTAACCTGATAACACTAAACGAAAATTTTGTAAACAAATGTGAAACAAGAGGTTTTAAATTCTACAAGTAGACTTCAAACTGGTAAACAAATTCTAACCAAAACTTTTAAAATGATCAATGTAGACTTCAAACACTAACACAAAAGTTAAACATGTGCATAAGTTTTATTTTTATTTTTATTATTAAATAAAGAGAAAGGGATCATACCTCATAATCCGACGTCAACAATTGTAATTTGTCACACTTGTACACCTCTAGCTCCTTTAACATGGGCCATTCTGAAGTGTGCTGTCCAAGGCATAAGCCTCTTAGTTCTGGTAAGTCGTTAAGCTTTAGAAAAGTTACCTGGGGAAAGGTAAAAGTAGCAATTGCTTCTGCTCCTTCTTCTTTGGTAACTATCTCTATTAATTCCTTACAAGAACTAATTTCAATGTGTCGCAACCGTTCAAAGCTTTTAATCACAGAAGATGGAAATACATATATTAGTTTTGCACACCCTGCCAAGATTAAGCGAGTCAAATTTTGATAGCAGGAAGACGTATTCCGAATTAGATGGTCCCAGATCATTTCAGTATGAATACCATGCAAATCCAAGGCCTCCAAATTGGAGAAAACAATCTGCAGCTCAAAGGTAATAGATTGTTGTTTCAGCATTTTCTCAAGAGAAACTAAGGAATTAATATGAATATAAATGTAGTGGTGTAAGATAGAAATTAGTTTACCTTATAACTAAATGACAATATTGTAAAATGTAGAACAAGAAGTTTTAATTTGCTCAAGTGAATATCAAATATCGATCAATGAATTCAAACCAAAATGTTAAACATAGCAACTGACGCATAAATTACCGTTTTATTTCAGTATTAAAGATAGATAATGGACCTGCACCTTGTATTCTGAAGTGAACTTTAGTAGTTTGTAGCAATGAGACACTAAAACAATATTGAGTACACTAAAACATATTTTTACGTGAGGAATTATTTTTTATTTTATTTTTAAAAATTGTAAGTAATGTTATTAGGTTCTATAATTATTACTTCAAATATGTATTTCTGTCATTTTGCAAATCTCGAGAATAAAAAAAGTATTATTTTTTACTTTAAAATTTGATTCATTTTCAAAATGGATTTAAAAATATTTCATTGAATAGATTTTTAGTTTCTGGGACTATGCATTATATGAATGCTATTAATTTTACTATAGCATTAATTCATTGCTCACATGCTCATCTTTAACAAAGGCATCTAAAATAGGGAAAACCAAAGTGGATTTCAAATTGCATTACTTTTCCCAAACTTTCCGGAAATCCATCAAGTTACCCCCAAATTAGAGATGACATTAACTGATCTATTAACTGTTGAGTTAAGAACGAAGTAATAGTCCATTAGGCCCTTTTTTTGTCCCTTTTCAGGTGAATAACACTTTTACACCCTAACTTTATCAAATTTACATTTGTCACCCTTAATATAAAAAATATGAATTTCTTACAAATATGAAATACCATATTTGCCCTTTGACTTTAAAGAAATTATCAAGAAGGCTAAAAAATCCGTAAAATTAAATAAATATTGTGAAAATTAAAAAAAAAAAATCTAGAAAAAAAGGAATATCTAAAACATTAAAAGAAAATCTAAAATGTTTATAAAAGTTAGAGAGAATTAGAAATCTAAAAATTTGAAATATTTAAAAATTAATTAACAAAGAAACTAAAATCTGAAAACTTAAAAAAACATCTGGAAATTCAAAAACTATTTTGCAAGTATAAATTAAAAATAAAGAAATTATAAAAACTATAAAAAAAAAATAAAAAGCTTGCTGGAATCGGATTTATTAACACCATCTGTGAAATGGGGGTAACGTGGGGGGAGGTTGACTAAAATCGTGAAGCTTGAACGAAAAGTGGCTTTTTGGAAAACGTAGGGTGGGTAATTGATTGTTTCTCATATCCAATATTTGCTTTCATCTGTCTCTTTGTTGAAGTAAAGAAACTATAACACGAATTTTTTTATTTCTAATATTAAAGAAAAGCATTCTTGTAAGACAAACTTATAATTATGGAACATTTGCATCAGATAGAGAGTTAATTGATTGCCTGATAACAATAGATGTAATTCATATGTAAATTTAGACAAGATGTTTTAAATTGGAATTAAACACGTGTAAGTTGAAGAGGTTACCTATTGTCTTTTGCAATAACTTTTTTATTTCTAATATTAAAGAAAGAAAGACCCATACCTTAAATTGTGAAGTGAATATGTGTAGTTTGTCACAACTATACACCTGCAACTTCTTTAACTTGGGCCATTCTGAAGAGTGTATTCCAGGGTAAAAAGTTGTTAGTTTTGGCAAGTTTCCAAATTGAAGGAATTCTACCCGTGGAAATATAAATGTAGGAGGTGCTTCTACTCCTCCTTCTTTGGCAATGATCTCCTTTAATTCGTCACAATTGCTTATCTCAAGGTGCTGGAGCTGCTCAAAGTTTTTAACCATAGATGATGGAAATACATATTTCAGTTTTCCAATGTCCTTGATGATCAAGCGTGTCAAATGTTGATAGCAATCAGACATTGGCGGAAGTTGACTGTCCCATATCATTTGAGAATTAATTGCTTGCAGCCTGACATCTTCCAAATTTGGGAAAACAACCTGCACCCAAAGTTAATTGTTTCAATATATTCTTGACTGATCAAGTAAAAGAAGTAACAATTGTTTCTCATAAATATATGTATTCCATCTTTTATTAGGTTGAGCAACAGGCTAGCCTCTGCAACTTATACGAGTATGTTTTCTCCAAATTCTGCGTTCCAAATTCCAGTTCGCTTAGCAAACAGAAGACAATTGTTTTACCTTTATTTACATATCTGCCATTAGTTTTTGTCATGCATATGATTTGCACAACAAAACTTCTATCTGATAACACATATTTCTTCTACTTGTAATAGAAGAGACTGTTAATTTCGCTCATAAAATATTGCATACACTTACACTTCTTTTTATTTACATAATTATTATTTATATTTTAGAAAAAAAAATAAGGGTGAATACTAACTATATATCTAGAAAAAAAAATATTTTAAAATTATAAAGAAAATAAATAAAAATTTATATAATTAATTCCTTGAATAATGTTAGTTTGATTTTTCAAATTCCAAGGAATATTAGAAGATTTTATAATTACTTCATGTATATATTTCTTTCATTTGAAAAAAGCTCTAATAGATCTACTCTCATTGGTTTCATTTTTCTAAAGTTGTTTGTATAAAATGATATTAAAATTTTTTTAGGAAACTTAAAAATGCAAAATTGATTTATTTAATTTTATTCTTAGTTTATTCAGTATCAAAAAGAATTTCAAAAAATTTTATCAAATAGATTTTAATTTTCTTGGATGGTGCAATATATAATTCCTACAAAATTTAATTTAAAAATGAGAAAAAATAAATTTTCCACCCTACCTTTTCGCAGAAAGCCAACTTTTCGTTCAAATTTCACAATTTTAATCAACTTTCCTCCAAACTTTTCAGAAATCCATCAAGTTACCCCCACATTAGAGATGACGTTAATTGATCTATTAACTGTTGAGTTAAGGATGAAATAAAAGTTTATTAGGCCTTCTTTTATCATTTTCTAGGTCTAGGCTTGCAGAATAACATTTTCGACCTTAACTTTATCAAATTTACATTTGTCACCCTAGATTTTATAAATATGGTATTTCTTACAAACAAGAAATACCATCTTGGCCCTTTGACTTAAAAAAATTTATGAACAAAACTAAAACATCTGCAAAATTAAACTAAAAACTAAAATCTAGACATTAAAAGAAAATCTAAAAAATTTATAAACGTTAGAGAGAATTAGTAAACTAAAAATTTGAAAAATTGAAAAAATTAATTGAAAACGAAACTAAAATCTGAAAACTCAAAAAAAAATCTGGAAAATTAAAAATTATTCTGGAACTATAAATTATAAATAAATAAATTATAAAAACTATTAAAAAAAAAAAAAAAAGTTGTTTAGAATCGGTAATTGCCGATAACCTAGCTAGCCAGGATTTGGCCGCGCATGCCAATTGTAGGCCACCAGCCAGCTCATCGACGTTGGTCGGCCACCTTGGCCAAGTGTGATTAGGCTTGTGTTGCACCAAACCAGGTGCGATTCAGGCTAGATCGCACCTGGCCAAATTTAATTTTTCGGAAGTTTTTATTATTTAATTTGATTAAAATCGTGAAGCTTGACTAAAAAGTTGGATTTTCCGAAAATGTAGGATGGGTAATTGATTTTTTCTTATTTACAAATATTTGCTTTCATCTGTCTCTTTGTTCAAGTAAAGAAACTCATCACCATGACACGAATCATAGCTCATATATATGTTCATCTTCAATTCAATCATCTAAAATATGGAAAAAGAAAATTAACCTGAAAAGCGGAAATTTTGTAACTAAAGGCACTCTTGTAAGACAAACTTATAATTATGGAATGCATTTGCATCAAATAGCAAGTTAGTTAATTACCTGATAACAGTTATATGTAAATATAGACAAGATATTTTAAATTATATTTAAACACGTGTGTGAGTTGAAGAGGTTACCTATGGTCTCTTGCACTAACTTTTTTATTTATATTATTAAACAAAGAAGAAGGAACATACCTTATATTCTGAAGTGAATATGTGTAGCTTGCGACAATCAGACACCACCAAGTTCTTTAACAAAGGCCATGTTGAAGTGTGTATCCCAGAATAGAATGTTGTAAGTTCTGATAAGTTTCTAAGATATAGGGATTCTATCTTTGGAAACATAAATGTAGCAGCTGCTTCTGCTCCTTCTTCTTTGGCAATAATCTCATTTAATTCCTTACAATTTCTTATCTCAAGGTGTTGGAGCTGCTCAAAGTTTTTTACCATAGAAGATGGAAATACATATTTCAGTTTTCCAAGGTTCCCAATGATCAGCCGTGTCAAACTCTGGTAACAAGAAGACATTGTTGGAAGTTTGTTATCCCATATCACTTTCGAATTGAGATCTTGCAGTTCTAAAGCCTCCAAATTCGGGAAAACAACCTACACTCATATGTGAAGGAAAAAAAGCAATAATTAATTCTCATTGTCATATGTAAGACATGCCATTAATGTTACAAATCTCTCTTTTGCCTCTGAATAGTTTTAATCACAGAAAATTATTAAGGATTATTGAGCATCTATCTCCCTCTCTTAGCATATGCATATATTTAACATACTTATCAGTACACAAACTTTAGCATGAATGAAGTCCACTTGATAAAATTACAAATTACTTGTGCACTCAAACTGTATGTCAAAAGCTAGCTATATTTATTGTAACAAATTTAACTGAAAATTAAATCATATGAAGAATTGGCTCATTCAGAAAGATATAACAAAGGTAACATAGTTTTATTTGCAATATTTGTTATTTGATGTTAAGTTACTATATGAGATTTTTTTTTTTTTTTTCCGTCTTCTTTCAGATAAGGAATTTACTTTCGTACATATGCTAACGAAATTTAACAAGAATTAAGAAAAGATAGAACATATGATGCATAAGTAAAAGATTTTCGTCAATCAGACCTTTTCGTTAAAAAGTGGTGAGGGAGTATCAAGTTCATGCGCCAAATTGACATCATTGTACTGCAAATCAGTTGTCGATTCCTGGCTTGATTGCGACGTTGATGGTGTCTTTACTTCTAAGTAGAAGTTTGCAATCCGTGGAAGATTCATCAAAGTCAAAAACCGTAATTGACAGATTACTTCGTTAATGTTGACATCATCTTCTCTTTCAACAATGAAAGCCGCTTTCATATTCTTGCAATCTGACACATTGATTCTTTGAAGTTGTGGAAGGCTTCTAGAATTGGAGAATGAGAAGATATTTTCCAGTTTAGTACAACTTCTTACTTCTACGATTTTTAAGTTACAGAAAGACCCTACTATAGGTTGACCATAACATATCCTCCGTAACTCAATCAAATTGAAAAGAATTAATGACTCCAAGAGGGGGAAAGCAGGAAAGGCATCATGAGGTACGCACTTGATTGAGTCAACAAGACACAAGATGTTAGGATTATTGTGAACATGAAGATGTTTCAATTTTGAAAACCCCTCTTTATCTAATTCATAAAGGACATTCTTTATACCTTGCTTTAGTTTGTCTATGCATAAGAATTCAACATTCCTGAAGCCCTGCAATTCCTCTGACCAAATGATGGAAGTAAGCTTCAATTTCAACATTCTAGAAGAGGTCCAAGGCTCATCAAAACTAAAGCTCAGAATACGCATGAACCGCCCATCATCACGTTCTATGTGCGACCTACCAAATGTAGAAGACCCATCTCCTATTGATATTTCGTATCTCTCAAGCTTTTGGGTGGTGAACAAACCTTTAGGAATCATCTTTTCATCTTTAATATGTAATTCTAAAGTGGTCAGATGAGACAGATACTTCAACTCTCCAAGGCTAGCATTACTTCTTTCAACATTGCTTGCTTCAGCCTCCCATACAACAGAGCATCCATTCATATACAATTCTTCCAATTTGACTAAGCTTGATAGAACATTTGGTGCTATAAAATTTAGTTTTCGACAATGGCTTAAATCTAACAGCCTTAATTGAGTCAATCGACCAATTTCTTTTGGCAAATGCTCAACATTTGAACCTCGTAAACTAAGAATTTTTAATTCGTTTAGCACTCCAATGATGGCTACATCTTCAAGTTTACAATAATCCAAACACAATGTTTGAAGGTTTACTAGGAATTGAAGTGATGACTGCAAAGAGAAAAATTGCACTCTAACCAAATCTAGAACTTTGAGTTTTGTCATCTTTGTGAAAAAATTCTCAGGGATTTCAACATGAGAATCACCAATCTTGGTGCTCATGAAGAAAGATTCAAGCTCCGGACAATCCAATCCATTGTGCAACTCACTAATAGAACTATCACATACAAAGATCTTTTTGCAAATTTTTAGACAATTTTGAGGAGGCCATGACCATGTAATCTCATTTCTCACAGAAAATACATGGTCGTCTCGATTTGCAATGGACAAAGCAACTTCCCGAACAAAATCATGCATAGAAAATGATTCGTTGGTGTGACCAGTAAACAATAAACATGAGTCTTTGAGGTCATAGATCAAATCAGACACTTTATCTCGCGCTTCTTCTATTGTATAAATGTCTTGGAATATATCCAAGCCCACAACATATTTGACCAAGTCTAAAATGAAACACCGATGTGTCATTAGACTACAGAGTAAAAAAGTTTTCTGTAGTACCTCACCTTTTAAATACTTGTAACTCAAGTCTATAGTCGCATATGCCTCTTTCATCTCTCCTGTGATGTTTTCTGGGGAAGACCTTTTCAATGTTCGCAAGGCCGTTTTCCATTGAGATGGTTGGTTCTTGTGCCTCAATGCTCTTGCTATAGTAACAATGGCAATGGGCAAACCTTTACATATGCTGCATATGTTTTCTGCCAGAGATTTAAACTCATGTTTTTCAATGAAATCACCTACAGGGAAAACGAGATCAAAAGTTAATGAAGCGGAAATATAAATTTTATATAGTATTGCTAGTAACTTAAACTCCTTTAAGAAGCTTTTTAAAAAAAATCTTTGAAAGTTGTAACATATAATCAAGAAACAGAGTCAAGTTTCTGATCATAAGGATCAGGTTTTGGAAGAGTTAGAGAGGTTGCTCTTGAGGTTTCTTCTTTGAGTTAAAAGAAGTGTGAGTCATGTGTAATCGGGCCAAAGGTTCTTGGATTTGCGATTTCTATATCCTCTACTCTATTTTCTGTAATTTGTGAGTCATGTGTAAAGATTTTGAAAACTAAATTATGCAAAGAAAAATAGAGTTTAAAATATGCAAAGAAAAATGAAAATTCTATGACCTGCTCACCTGCCATATTCTTAAACAACCTCCAACTCTCTTCTTCACTTAAATTGCCAATCGGGAAAGGTTTAGGGTCACCCATATTCTTCAATACATGTTGGTATCTTGCTGTCACCAATAATTTACATCCCCTGTCATCAGATTGATCAGGAATCCCTATACTCTTCAAATCAAAATTATCATCCCACAGATTATCTAAAATGATAAGAATCTTCCCGTCGTTCTTCTCCTCTTTCTTCTTCAACCGTTCATACAATTTACTTATTTTTTCAGTTTCGTTATTGAACTGCAGACGTAACTGATCTGCCATTTCTGTTTGAATCTTCTTTACGTCAGGAGCCTCAGTTACCTCGACGAAAACAACCACATCAAAGAACTTCTTGACTCTTATAGCAACTTCCTTCGCTATCGTCGTCTTGCCGATGCCACCCATTCCATAGATCCCAATCATGTTTACATTAGCATCATTTAACGCGTTCACTATATCACTCAAAATAGAATTTCTTGATGCCATTTCAGTGTAATTTTTGTCAGGTTTAAGCCGCACGTCGTCCAGAATAGTGGGATTGGAAACCTTATCAAAGTCTTTTTGTTGCTGCAGGAGTGGAAATATATTATCCTCCTTCATTTTGAATGCTTTCTTACCATATTTGTAGCGGGTGATCAAGTTAGGACAAAATCCCTTGAAACAACGGTCGTTCTCTTTCTCTGCAATCAAATTGTCTGCTTGAACAATGATGGAATCGACGTTCTTCTGCCACTCCTTAACCCTATATTTGATCTTTTCCACATTTCTTTCAGCCGCAACAACCCTATCCGTCACCTCCTCTTCTGCTTCCTTAAGCTTCTCAACTTCATTTTTGAGATCGTCAAAGTTGCTCTTATAGTTGTACAAGTACATAAATTGACGCCCAATCGGAGCAGCTAACCACTTGCCAACTTCGACAACAACACTTACGACAGTTTCAACCATTTTCAACTCTGTTTCCGTCTCTCCTTCACTTCTTTTTTAAGTTTGAAAAGTGGAAGAGAAAAAAGCAACTGAAAATAAAACAGAGACAACAACAGAACAAGAGAGAGCAAAATCAAAATAGAATCAGTAGAGAAAGAAAAATTGAAACAGAACAAGCGGAGATCAAAATCAAATAACAGTAAGGACAAAATGCTGATAATAAGCTTTTTTTTATTTTTAATAAATAAAACAAGAAATAAAGGAATGAGACAAACTGACAAAGAGTGAAAAATCAAGAGAACTGGTTTCTGGCTAATTTATTTATTTATTTTTTGGGTTTTAGAAATAAAAAGATCGGAGGTAGCAGTCTGAAGGAATGAGAAAGAAGAAAAGGGAAAAAGCCGTAGAAGATCAAGAGGCTAGAGAGAGCTGGAACGGAGAGGAATGACGAGATTAGTGGTGGAAAACAGTATGAATGAGAACAACAGTGAGAACATTTAAACAATAACAGGCAACTGTTTGTTGATTGATAGGGCAGTTTATTAAGTTTGAATAACAGGCAAGTGTTTATTGATTGATAGGGCAGTTTATTAAGTTTGAATGTAATTAAAAGGTTATCAAGTTTTAAAGTTTTAACTAAATAGTTATATTATTGATTAAGGGTAATTAAACTTGATTAATACTTAATTAGGATTAAAAGAAGTATTATGTAATCTTTTAAAAATTATATTATATTCCGAAAAACCCGAAATTCTTGCAAACAAACCCAAACACCTTCTTCTTCCTCCCGCCATTAACGCATCTCCACCTTGGTTGCTGTTTCTTCTTAGCTTTGTCTGCATCTTCTTATTCGTCTACATCTTCTTCTTCGTCTGCATCTTCTTATTCGTCTACATCTTCTTCTTCCTCTTTCCTCTACATCTTCTTCTTCCTCATTCCTCTATCTTCTTGTTCCTCCGCCATTAACACTTTCTTCTTCCTCCACCATTAACATTTTCTCCGCCAAAGATCCCCCTCCTCCTCCTCTTGACATTTCATGTAAGCATGTGTATCTCCTCTTTACATTTTGTATTTAGATTTACAAAGATTTAATAATGGATGGGGTTTGGGTTATGATTTTGATTTAGTTGTTTAGGTTGTTGGGTTGTGTTTGATGTAATGCAAGTTGAAAGGAGTGAAATTTGTTGAAAATTTGTTCTGGGTATGATGGATCGATTGTAGGTGGAGATCACTGAAAATGTGTTCTTGGTACGATGGATCGCTTAAGTGATCTGGTATATTGCTTAAGCGATTTGGTAGGTCTGGTAATGCAGCAGATAGATCGCTTAAGCGATCAAGTATGTGGCATTAGATCACTTAAGCGATCTGGTAAAAGTCTGGTGTATAGGAGCAGATCGCTTAAGCGATCAGTAAATGGCATAAGATCGCTTAAGCGATCATTGTTATTTATACTCGATCGCTTAAGTGATCAAGTTATCGCTTAAGCGATCTAGTATAAATTACCATGATCGCTTAAGCGATACAGCAGACCATATAAGCGACTGTGCAGATTCTTTTTAAAATATTTGAACCCTTAGTATAGCATTTAAGAATATTTTTTTTCTTGCATTACAGGTAGTTGGCTATTATCACACATGGGACAAGTTGTTTTGGGTGTTGAATATTTTGGTGAGTGGGTAGAGGAAGAAAGTAGGTGGAAGTGGATTGGGAAGAGCAAAGAAGTTATACCAATTGCTGTGAGCACAGAGGTTAGTTTTGATGAGTTGATTGATGAAATAATTAGAAGAGGTAATTTGAGTTGCTCGCGAAGTGATATAGTTGTGAAGTATATTTTAAGCAGAGATCCTGAAAATTATAAGGTACCTCCTGCTATATTAAAGTCGGATGAAAGTGTGAAGTTATATATGATTGATGTGGGCCGATAATTGTTCGAGGCCGATTTTAAGGGTTTCTTTTGTAGAAAAACCGTTGGAAGTTGGTTCAAAGAAAGGGGATAACGAGGAAGTAAGCGGAGATTTGCCTGGTTTTAATTTGAACTACGAGGCCATTGATTTGTTAGTTGAAAAATCAAGAGTAGACGGTGAATTGGGTGATGAGGAGGAGACTGTAGAAGAGGTTGGTGATGAGGGGCAGAATGAAAATGTTGAGGAGGAGGACCTCGTACATGTTCCCACAGATGTAGAGATTCCTTTAAATACAGATTATGCAGAAGGCGTAGATTGTGAGGAAGAGAACACTATGGTCGTTTATGCAGATTCAGAGGGGGCAATTGGAGGTAGTAGTGAATCAGCTCATGTTTTTACGGATGGATCGGAGTTACGCGTAGGGTATTTATTTGACAACAAAAAGGAAGTGGTGAGAAAGCTAAAACCTGTTGTCGTGAGAGGTAATTTTGAGTTCATCACCAATAAGTCAAATTCATTAGCTGTGACGGTTGCATGTCGTGATCGAAAGTGCAAGTGGCGGGTTTATTGTAGAAGGTTAGCGGAGTCGGAAAAATTTATTCTTAGCACATATACCCGTGAGCACACATGTGGTTTGGGACATATTTCAGGTGAGCATCGACAAGCGTCCGCTGATGTTATTGGACAATTTGTCAAAAGTCGGTTCGTTGAAGGGAAAGGTCCATCTCCTAAAGACATTCAGAGACTTGTGCGCAAAGAGTTGGAATGTGCTGTTAGTTACTGGAAATGCTGGAAAGGGAGACAACATGCATAAGATTTTGTGAGGGGCACGTCGGAGCACGGGTACGCAGTATTAGAAGCATACTGTTATATGCTTGAGTTGACAAACTAAGGTAGCAAGATGGCTTTAAAGTGGGACAGGAATATGATGTTTAAATATTTTTTTGTTGCTTACAGTTCTGCTATAAAGGGTTTTGTAAACATGAGAAAGGTGTTGGCTGTTGATGGTTGCTTTCTGACGGGAAAGTATGGAGGTACATTGTTGGTGGCCACTGCACAGGACAGCAAGAATCACACATATCCTGTTGCATGGTGTGTGGTTGACTCTGAGGATGACGAGTCATGGACTTGGTTTTTTCAGCAGTTACGTACGATAGTGCCTGACACTGAGGAGTTGTGCATAATATCCGATAGGCACAACTCTATAAAGAAGGGGATTGCCATTATTTACCGTCAAGCATATCACGGATTCTGTATGAGGCACCTTGGTGAGAACATAAAACAAAAGTTTAAGTGTGCTGGCCTCCTTTAGACATACTACATGACAGCAAAAGCTTATCGCATTGATGAGTTCGAGGAGCACTTCCAGCAAATCCGAATCAAGGATGATAGAGTTGCTAAGTATCTTGAGCATGATGTTGGTTCGAGTGATGGAGTAGAGCTTACTTTCTTGGAAGAATATTTGATGTCATGACCACAAACATAACCGAGTCCATAAATTTGAAGTTGTTAATAGAAAGAGAGTTTCCAATAGTTGCACTTTTTGATGCAATCCAAAGGACATCAACATCAGCATAACACTTGCAGCATCAGCACCACAACCTAAGTATCAACATCAACATCACATAAACTACAAAATTCAAAGTACAAGTTCCAAACCTTTTGATTGGGTTGTGGTCACTCAAAACGGATCCATTTCCCCATGGAAGCACTCAACAGCCCAGCGCTCCCGAAAGATGGTCATTGTTTCATCATTCAATCTGTCCATCGGGCTGTTGGTCATGTCGAACTGAATAAATTTTAGGGCATATGCCCTACAATCAGTACTACAATAGGAAGATGACATTAGCATTAGAATCAACTTATAGAACAATTATATTATGTAAGTTTTATACAAAATATACCCTGACTCATTTGTTGGGACGGGAATGCGCTTGAGTGGCCACTTTCCTGTCAATGCTTCATCACCAAGGTGCTCAAACATCCTGCTGTCACGTAACAGCCGCAGGAACAACACGGACAGTGGCTCTAACTCGTCCTCCAACTGCCTGTCTCAACAAATTGTTGGTTTGCAGTTAAGGATCTTCAACAACCTCTCCTCTAAGAGCGCGACGACTGCTATCCAGTGCATTTCCTTGACCAGAATGATGCAGTAGACACTTTTAACCTTTGCCCAACTATGGCAATATTTGGGCTTGTCCCCCATTACATATTGCATCATTCTATCATCAAACTTAAAATCATTAGGGACGCAATCCAAGTCTTCTGTGCTCGATCGTTTTTGCTTGTCTCCTTTTGCTACAGATGTACCAATGGCCTTTTTCAATAAATTGCGATATGTCGATACCAACGTTTGGCCAAAGGCCACATCGGTGATGGCACAATCGGGATACAGTAGATCACCATTGCTGGTTTGTCGCAGCCTCATTAGTGCCAATACCTCATCGATGTGCTGTATCAAATAAAAACAACATGATAAGTATACAATACCTCATAGAAAACATAAGCAAAAATAAGGAAAATTAAGCGAAAATAACTCACCGAGTCGTGAAGCCAGCTGCCCATCGTCAAAATTTTTTCAAACCAATCTCGAGAATAATCCCCGGTCTTACACTTTACAAGGGCATCAATTCCGGATTCATTTTAATAGGTATAGAAGGGTTTTTTCTTTTCCTCCTCTATTGGCCTATACAAATCGACAGTGGACTCCATTTTTGCTTGCCCGCTTCCTCCCCCTTCCTCCATTTGTATGTCCCCGTTTCCTTCGCCTCCCGTCTCAACCTTCTCCATTATAACTGTCCCACTTCCTCCAGCAACCTCTTTAACCCCCTCAATTTTGGCTTCTTCCTCAATTTGTTTCTTTGTTTTCCTCTTAATTCCACGTGTTAGTACGGTGTAAGGCGATTTCACAAACCTGCTCTTTCGGCTCTCTCTTTTCAGCCCAGGTTGCACTTCAACCGCCTTCAATACTCCACCAACTTCCTCCTGCACCCTACCAACTTCCTCCTCCACCCTAACAACTTTCTCTGCCACCTTATCCACTTTCTCCTCCACCCTTTTCAACCGCTCTTCCATCTTATCAAACCTGCCATAAACAGCTGTTGTAAAACTATCAAA